CCCACGCAAACACGGGGAGAACATGCAAACTCCACACAGAAAGACCCCGGCCTGATGGTGGAATTGAACTCAGGACCTTCTTGCTGTGCGGCAACAGTGCTAACCACCGTGCCACCATGCTGCCCGTTTTGAATCATCCCAGAAGTAAAAGTACTAATGCAGATATCACTGGAGCATAAAGCTTTAGGTTACTTCAGTAACCCCGGTTCTCAGAGTAGCAGATGTCACACGATGGGATGCGCCTCCCGGCATATTCCTCAGAATACCTGGGCATGTTCCAGCCCGAGGCAACACAAGAAGACCCAGTGTGTCCTTGCTCGAGATTTTGTTGCCACGTATACAGAGTCATTCTCGGAGTCTACGCTTCCTCTGCTGTGAGGGAAAGATGTCATTTTCACTAGCTGGGATGCTAATGATGAGGGATGCAAGTTAGCTGGTTTGCTAGCCTTTGCCAAAGGACAACGGCGTTAGCTGGTGTGCTAAACCGTGCAGATAGGAGAGACGGGCAGAGGTAGCTAGTGCCCAGTGACGGGAAATAATGCTAACGCTCCTGGCTGTGGAAAGTTAAGCTAGTTAGCCTAAGAAGGCTTAGCTAGCATATCTCAGCCAAAGAACGCTGAGATATGCTCGGAAGCGTGAAGAGTTGCTTATCTTGAAAAACGACTATGTAATAGCGCAGGCTATTTAAAGGTGAATGTCTGCCCAACATGGTCGTTGTGATCATCAGCCAATCAGGATTGGCAGAATGAGATAAATGCTACTGAGGAATCTGCAGGGAGGCACATCCCAAGGTGAGACACTGAAACAAAGCGAAATGGATGCAAGGAATGAGAACTGAATTAAGGTGGATCACTTTGAAGGTACTTAGGTAGATTTCGCTCCTCATTATGTAACAAACATTCACCACCAGGGGGCAGCGTGCTATCTGCAGTAATAGGAATAACAGCGTTACAAGTAACAGCTTTTCAGTAACGAGTAATCTAACTAATTACTATTTCTATTGTTACAACGCCGTTACAGTTACTGACAGGAAAAGGCGGTGTGTCGCGTTACTGTTTTTCAACAGACGGTTGAAGCTGTGTCCAGCTTACTGCATGTCAGTAATCTGGGCGCTACAGCTTTAAGCAGCTGCGCAGGCTCCCATGAGCAGAGCAATCACTTTCTGCCTGACGATCACTTTCTGGCACAACACCTGTTGCTAAGGGGTTAAAACAATTGCAAGAATAAAGTAGTCGTGGTAAGCCAATCACATGACCACTTCAAGATGACAAAGCAACAAGGTGACATATAAGCAAAACAAAAACCTGCCTTTTTGTGTTGGTGGAAAAATGCACCACATCAACCAATCAAAAATGATATGGCAACATGACATTTGGTTGTTTAGGAAGAGAGAGAAGTTTTAGGAGTGACAGTGAGAGCGAGAGAGCGAGACAGTAGAAAAAGAGAGAGAGCGAGTTTTGAGATGTGAGAGATTTGTGACGTTTGAAATCTGAACTGAACTGAAATCATTTTTTTCTACTTGTGGACCAGCATGATGTCACAGAGAGGGCGCAGCTCGAGAGTGGTTTAGGCTGAGCACTGCTCCTCTACGGAGTCCCACAAGGCTCCATTCTGGAGCCCAATGTTTTCTCTCCCTCTAGGATCATTTCACTTCTGATGATTACCAAATCTATTTGCTCCATAAAAGAAATGATGGCAACTGATTAAACTGTAAAAAATTAAGGCCAAACCTTTTATGACAGTCAGACTGAGGTTGTGATACTTTGACAAAGTTGCTCTAGCAGTTGGACCTTCGTGTGAAAATGGACTTTGACCAAACACTAATAATAATAATAATGGATTGCATTTATATAGCGCTTTACAATGCCACTATTCATTCACTCTCACATTCACACACTGGTGGAGGCAGCTACAGTTGTAGCCACGCAGCTGTGGGGCAGACTGACAGAAGCCAGGCTGCCATATCGCGCCATCGGCCCCTCTGGCCATCACCAGTAGGCACTGGACAATCAGATTCATTCTGTTGTGAAATCAGGTGTTTACCTGTTGAGACTTCCAAGGTCAGGCCCTCATCTTTAAATAATTTTAAGTTATCATTATTTCATTACAGCTTCACTTGACTGTTGTTATGCCCTTTACGTTGGTAAATATCAGGCCTTCCCTTTCACTCAGTCCAACATGGTGCCCTCTTACCTGAACCCGTAAGCTATAGCCTCCTCCATTCTGGCTTCCTGTGCTTTTTAGGATCGATTTTAAGATTTTGTTTTTTTAAATGTCCTTCAAGGTCACAGAGATATGCTGCCCAGCTACTCCTCTGTTCCAAAGCCTACACTTAAGAACGAGTTGCTGCTCCATGTTCACATTTTTATTCTTTGCCTTTGAACTTGTCGTGAGAGCTTATGAATTCAGGCTGTTATATCATCACTTGTGTTTTTGCAATTTGTGTGTAACCTTTTGTTTCTTTGATCAACTTTGTTTTGAAATGTGATTTTAAAATGAATTTGGATTTTGATCTGAATGGACATCTGAGAATGAGGCTGGCCTCGAAGAGGGAGGAGCTAAAACAGCTTGTTTTGAATTTAAACTTATGCAAAGCTACCGTGGGAGAGACCAAAACTGAAACCACTGATGTTCCTGACACGCTGCAGTGCACCATTTTGACCAGCCCGTGGCACTTTCACCTTGTTCAGGTTTGTCTTTGAGTATAAATAAGACTCAAATATTTCAAAACTCCTGACCAAGCAAACAGCACCAGACTTCATTCAGAATTTACCCAAATTAGCACAGTTTAGTTCCAGTTTGTTTGCTGTTTTTGGCCCTTCAGAAACTTCCTGCATGTGAATCAGATCAAATACGAGTAAAAGTCCACTTACCAAACTTTTCTTCCAGAACCTTCCATCTCCATAGACGTCTTCACGCAATAAAAATCTTTCACTAAACAGTAACGGACTTCATCAAATTTTTGACCATTTTTAGACTCATCCTCTGGTCCTTCCAAATTTATAAAATTTATAAAATTAACCCCCCCCCCCCTTTTGTTAAATATCAGTAAAATCAGGTAAAGCATCTGCATTTGACTTCTGGGAATAAAAAACACATTCCTGGCTAAAACACAGCATGTCATTAAGTGTTGAACTGAATTATTAAAAAACGACCAGAGTCATTCAAAATTTCACCATTTTCAGATGTTTTTCATGATGTACTAATCAAAAAAATGACAGTGGCTCCAGTGCTTGAAATAGTATAATTGGGAGTTTAGATTGATTAATCTAAACTCTGATTAATCAGTAAATCTGAAAACAACTTTAACCTCCTGTCATGCCTCAGCAGAAGATCAAATGTGATCGAACAGAACCTCAATCCATTTAAAATAATCTGATTTAACGCCATACTGTACTCATGGGGAGTTCTGTAACTTTATCACGTCTTAGGTTTAGCCCGCCACGGCTCATTTTAAATGTGGTTCAGTCTCACTGACCGAGCAGTGCCAGACGTCATTTATAATCCTGCCTTTGTTAGACAACAACAAACATTTTACATCAAGAGCTTCCAATACAGAATATTTCGCTCACTTATCCAGAATTTCAAACCGTGCCAGACTTCATTCAAAACTGACCCAATTTAAATTCCTTCTTCTGTCTGAAGTCCATTCAATTGATTTCACTGAATATATGAATAAATATGATTTACAATGATGTCACAGGTTGGTTTGACCCCGCAGGTTACCTGGTGTGAAATGAGCGTGCGCAGACAGCTGATGTCAGCAGTGAGGAAGCACAGGAGGCGGGGCTCCTCAGTACATACAGATTTCTTTATTGAATGAAGCAAAATAATGAGAGAACTTCCCCTTTATGAAAATAAATAAATCATTTTCTTTGTCTCGCAGAACGCCACCAGCGGCCGACTGTTTTGCCGCTCGCCGGATGCCAAACACACTAAAAACACGAGACGCTTGCGATCCATTTTGGCACGGGATGAACGCTCGCCGGAAAGGAGGGGGCAGGGCCAGAAGCGAGGGGTTAAATTAATCATCAGCAGTGCTTTTGGTTGAGTTCGTGTCGCAGACTCATTCCCCAAAGATCCCTTCAAAGTAAAAGACAATAAAATCTCAGTGTTAAGCGCTGCCTCTAAATACACACGGACACACCTGCCGACGACAGGTAAAAACCACCACCTGCTGTCTGTAGTGATTCTCCCAGCTAGCCCGCCCCCCAGCAGGGGCGCAAATGATGCTAACGAGCATTTTAAAAAGCAAAAGAAAAGATGAACAAAAAACATTTCTGTAACTCATCAGGATTTCTGTGCGAAGAAGTAGAAGACTGGATCCTGATGATGATGAGGACGAGGATGGAGAGTTCTGTCATCACAGCTGAAGAGTGACTGTGTGGACAGTGGGGTCAAAGGTCATTCAGGCTCAACTCCACATGAACCTTTTCTAAAGCAAATCTGCATCATTCCTTCATGTTGCCATACGCAGGTTGCTGTTGCCTGTAAAGTTGCAGAAATAGAAACTTCTGCAGCAACTGTTTGACGAAGGACAGCTATTGAGCCGTGACATTGCCTGGTCATACCAAACATCTCTGCAACAAAATACCCTGAACAACCCCACCAGACTTCATTCAGAATTTACCCAATTTAAGACAAATGGTACTGAGAAGCAATCTGAGCCGCTCGTCAGACTGCACCAGACTTCATTCAAAATTCTGCCAATTTTAGATGTGCTTTCTTGTGTTGTTTGAATTCCCAGTGTTCCCTGCTGTTGGACTTTATTAGAATAAATAAATCACACAGCTGTAAACTACCAGTGTTCATCGGCCAAACTGTTCACACACTAAAACAGAACAACAGCACCAGACTCTAATGAGAATTCATCTAATTTAAGACTGCATATTATTATTATTCATGCTGTAGTTCAGTTTATTTTTCTCTCAGGTCCAACTCTGTAACTCAAACTCTGCGTATGAATCTGACGCCTTCCACACTTCAAACTTTAGTTTAAGAGCAGATTTTACTCTTTTAGACGTTCACAAACAAATACGTCAGAGTTAAACCTCTGAAACGCTCTGAACTCTCAGTGTTATGATGCTTCCTTCGTCTTCCTGTTTCAGACCCTCCTGCTTTAAATACGTTTAAAAAGGTTTAAAAAAGTCTGAAACTTTATCCCAGGTGAGAAGAGTACGCTGAAGCTGAGCGGCCTCGGTGGCTGGGTGAAGCTGAGCCTGAAGGCGACCTCAGCCCTGACACTGCCAGCAAAGCGAGGTGGGCTAATTTAATACCAACATGTTAATAACAAGCTCCAGTTTTCCTCTGCGGGGTTTTTTTTTAAGCTTGATTTGGTGCTGCCGAAGCAGCCGAGCAGGATGCATCACTGACTCTGAGGAAAAGCTGAAAACACATTCTTAATGGACTTCTGAACCGGCTGTTTGAGAGCAGATCTGTTTGCTGTGACTTTCACTTTCATTGAACGCATCAGCCTTTCCGTAATGAGCGAACTCACCTGTTGAAAGGTGAAAAAAACCTGCTCTCTGCAGCTAGCTGGACTCCCATTGCTTTTAAATAGGAAGTGCTAACAATGCTAACAGCTACTATCTGAAGACGTGAACAGCACCAGACTTCATTCAAACTATATCTAATTTAAGACCAACGTTGCTGCTTTTTGTTGCCTGTGTTTGTCCAAGAAATTGATAAAGTTTTTAAATCATAACAATATTTATGATTCAGAATAAACACTCAGATTATTTGGCGTAAACCTGCTGTTATGCCAAAATGTTGCTATTTTTAGACTTTGATTGGTTTAGTCTCAAATGTTTCAGACCTGATCAGATGATGACTGTGTATATGTGTGAATGCGTTAAAGTGCTAATAGTTGGACGTCAGTTCAGAAGTCCATTGAGAATCTGTCTGATTTTAGCTTCCCTCGGCGTCATGGTGACGTTAATGTGAGGTCTGATGGACAAAGACAGCTCAGAGAGAAAAACGGCAGCTCGTTTCGTCTTTGATGATTATGGGAATGTTTCTGTCCGTCACAAACCAGGAGAATAAAGTTTAAATTTGAATCTGAGGCTCCGCCTCCCGCTGTGATGTTCTGGTCGGTGATTTTCTGAATGGACTTCCTGCTGTGCGGTGTGCTCAGCCGTACAGAGGGCTGACTGTGTGTTGTGAGTGTGAATGGAGGCGAGACGGGTGAGGGCTGATTCCAGGTGCTGCAGGTCACGTGATCACTGCTGGTCTCTGAACGCGTCCAGGTGGAAGGCCGTGTCCAGAAAGCGCCGCAGCTCGATCAGGTGAGTGTTTTTGTTTCCTGTGGCGGGAGCGGCTGCCGGGTCTCTGCCAGCATACCTGAAACACAGAGAGGGTGTGGTCAGAGGTTGCACGGTGGTGGACAGATGGTCTGATCATTATGACGGTGATGGTGGTTACCAAACGGGCTTGGCTTTCTGCGTGGTGGTCCTGATGCGAGGCTTCACGTAGTCATAGTAACCCTGGTTCTTGTGCTCCTCCTGACACCAGACCAGGTCGGCGTTGGGGAAGCGCTCCGTCTCCGCCTTCACCTGGTCGAAGGGGAACGGGGAGAGCTGCGGGGAGAGACGGCGTGCCGTTACTGCCTGTTCACCAGCCACTGCCGCCGAGTTCTCTTTCCTGTAATCCCCTAAAGACTGTAACTAAAGCTACTTTAGAGTATGAGTCAGCTGACTCCTTTGACACCGTAAGCCCCTGGCTGCAGCCAATCAGAAGTCTCCGTGTGGCATGCGTGTACCTGCTCAATGCGGCTGATGGCCACCGTGTCCTCCAGGCCTCTGCTCTTCCGCTCTTTGGTCAGCTCGTAGTAAACCTTTCCTGTGCAGAAGATCAGCCGCTTCACGGCCTCTGGACGCTCGGCCGCCACGCCCACCTCCGGGATCAGTCGCTGGAAGTGAGTTCCTGCAGCGAGGAAGAGGAGGTGGAAGAAAAAGGGAAAGCATGGAAGAAGGATAAAGACGAACAAAAGGAAAAGACAAAGAAGAGGAGGATGAATGAGAAGAAAGGAGAGAGGGAGGGTTCAGGCTCGGTTCGTCAGAGCCGTTAGAGCTGCAGGTGTGGGTGGAGGCGTTACCGGGCAGCATCTCGTCGAAGCTCGATCGGGCCTCGGGGTGACGCAGCAGAGACTTGGGAGTGAAGATGATCAGCTGGGGACACAAACAGGAAGTTGATCACATGACATTAGGCTGAACAGCATGTTTTCACAGGGAGTCGTCCACACGTCTATGGCCCCAGACTCCGCTTTAAGGCTAACACTGGTTTTAGTGTGTG